TCCCCCCCCCCCCCCCCCCCCCCAAAATACAATAACCAAATAATATCCAAATAATTTTGTTGACAAGACAATCCTATTATCCATGCAGATAGCCTAATCTTCACTCCATACAAACAAATTTACTTAACACTGGCCATGGTAGCTCCTCAGAAGTGTGAACATGTTGCATTGTTCTATCTTTAGATACCATTAATCATCTTGTGGCTCCATTAATTATTTAACCGGAATTATGTCGGTTACCACAGATACAAGGCCTACCCTATCTGTCACACTGCTTCTGAAACCAATGACGTCAGAAGGCTAGAGGCACTGGCTTGTTGTCTACAGCCTCTGCAGCTACTGCACTGGTAACCGTTACTGAGTTTAACCTTTTCTCTAGTGGTCCGAGCTAATAAATCATTCACCCCTGAAATTTTATAATGAACTATTCCAACCTTTGAATTGGAAGAGTTCAAATGTGTCTTCAGGAGTGAATGAGTTAAAGAATCAAGAACAGGAGTAGTGATTCTCCCATGCACTGTCTCATAAATACGACTTTATTTAATACAAGAGGTCCAGAGGGACTGTATCCGTGACTGCTATTTATTGTTTGTCTGGGCCATAGCTCTTGTTCAACCTTGAATTGAATTCTACAACTTTACTATGAGTTTTTCTACAACTTAGCATCAGGCTTGGTACAAACTGACCTGGTCAAACTAATGAAATACAAAATTTCTAGACTGGTTGAAAGCCAAAAAAGTTGTTTTACATTTAAAATCACTGCAAAAAAAATATGAACACTTTGTCTGGGAAAAAAGGAGATAACTGGTACTAATTTTCATTGTAGTAAGTATCTTTATAACTACAGAGAAAGTCTAACAAATATCCAGGCCTACAAATGTCCAGGGTGACCATCTTAGAATTTTAATCCGACAGAAAATATACCAACACTTCCTCAAGGACAAGGACATGACAGGATGATTTATAGTAAATGGTGTAAAAATTGAACTTAAGTAGTAAAACATTCCTCAGCCAATGAAAGGTCATGGGGGCCATCTACAAGTAAGAAATGGCCAGAATATTACCATCACTTGGTCGGGACCATGGTAGAACCATGAATTGTCTTTGATAAATTCAGAAAGACTGTAACTAAGGTGAAGTCGAAAATGTCTCGGCCAATCAGGGTGGTCATCTTGTATTTCAATTTAACCCAAAAATTATGAATTCTTGGTAGGGTTGTTTGAGGTAAAAAGATTTGTAAAGGTGTTATAAAGGTGGTGCTACTCTATATTACAGGATTAGGTATGTATGGACTCATCAGGACCTGGGATAGTAGGGTGTAGGTAGGTATTAAGGTGGTGCTACTCTATATTACAGGATTAGGTAGGTATGGACTCATCAGGACCTGTGATAGTAGGCTGTAGGATTGGGTGGGGAGGTATAAAGGGGGTGCTACTCCATATTACGGGATTAGGTATGTATGGACTCATCAGGTCCTGGTATAGTAAGGTGTAGGTAGGTATAAAGGTCGTGCTACTCTATATTACTGGATTAGGTAGGTATGGACTCATCAGGACCTGGGATAGTAGGGTGTAGGATTGTGTAGGTAGGTATAAAGGTGGTGCTACTCTTTATTACAGGATTAGGTAGGTATGGACTCATCAGGACCTGGGATAGTAGGGTGTAGGATTGTGTGGGTAGGTATAAAGGTGGTGCTACTCCATATTACAGGATTAGGTATGTATGGACTCATCAGGTCCTGGTATAGTAAGGTGTAGGTAGGTATTAAGGTGGTGCAACTCTATATTACAGGATAAGGTAGGTATTGACTCATCAGGACCTGGGATAGTAGGCTGTAGGATTAGTTTGGATAGGTATAAAGGTGGTGCTACTCTATATTACTGGATTAGGTAGGTATGGACTCATCAGGACCTGGAATAGTAGGGTGTAGGATGGTGTGGATAGGTATAAAGGTGGTGCTACTCTATATTACAGGATTAGGTAGGTAGGGACTCATCAGAACCTGGAATAGTAGGGTGTAGGATTGTGTGGGTAGGTATAATGTTAAAGTAACTTACGATGTGTGGATTCGTGTTGTGAGCTCTGATGCTGCGTTTGTTGAGATTTTCTATAGTTCACTTCTGCAGCTTTGTACGCCTGTTTGAACATTTTCTCTGCCTGCAACACAAAGATATACCAGGCATTGGAGAGGCAAGCACGACTACATCAACAAACTAACAGCTGATAACAGGTCTGATAGCAATAACCTCCCAATTAACAGGGTCACAAGTCAAAGGAAATCTATTTAACAACAAAACATTCAAATGTCTTCAAATTTCCAAAACATTAATTTGGAAACCCGAGATCAGGTAGGGTATCTCCTATCAGTGGAGTCCTGTATAGTAAATAAAACGATTTTTAACAAGTTCTCAGTAATCAATGAAGGCTTTGTTTAATTAGATTTAAGCTATGTGTCAGTCTCTTCAATCAAATAATCAGCTGGTTAATAAAATATAACGTGTAGACACAAGTCAATGTTCCTCCTCCTGACAATTAGAACTTGGTATTTATTATCGTTGCGGGACCTCTAAACGATTTATCTTAGTCCCAACCAATATTTCATCATTTTAACACATGTTGCAAATTCAATTAAGAATTAGGGACTTTGACAAATGTTCAGTGCACTTCTATACAGGCAGAACAATCTGTACACGTTGATAGATAATGAAGATTTCCTTACATCGGCTATAGTGCTGGTGTCCTCCTCAGCCAGGAGTATAATTGCTGTTGGACACCTGAAATTTGAAAATACAAATCCTCTTACGATTATGTCTACAAAATTTAAATCCCCCTTACGACAACTTATGGAAACAAGATTCCTCTTATAACTACAATCAGGCTAATTACACTGCAGTGATATTATTGTGATCTTCACGGCGAGATTAAATTTGCAGTAAGAAAGTTCACTGATTGACCTTTTAATAGATCCTAAGAATAAACATCATATAATATTGTGTTAGTTTTATTTGTGATATCATAAATGTAAAACTGAAATATGCCAAGAACAGGTGACTCAGCAGCTTGAATTGTGAAACATTATACTTCATATAGAACAACTTGACCAGCCATTCCAATGTTTCCTATTATGGTATGGCCTTCATGACATGGATGGCTATGATCTGATCTAATAATAGATAATGCATCAAAATATATTTTATAATATCTGGACACACTTTCATAAATAGATTACAATATTCAAAACAGAAATACATGTTTCTACAATTAACTTTTGAAAATAATGTATCAAACCTTCTGTAACTATTTCCTTCTATCAAGAGCCTTTGAAATTAACACATTTGATCCTGAGAGTACTCCCCCAGGAGGAAGGTGTGTGGTTTTGTCATTATACTTACTTAGGTGGGAAGGTGTGTGGTTTTGTCATTATACTTACTTAGGTGGGAAGGTGTGTGGTTTTGTCATTATACTTACTCGGGAGGGAAGGTGTGTGGTTTTGTCATTATACTTACT